AGAAAGAAAGAAAGAAAGAAAGAAAGAAAGAAAGAAAGAAAGAAAGAAAGAAAGAATTCTTTACTGGCCAAATGTGATTGGGCACACAAGGAATTTGTCCTGGTGTATATGCTCTCAGTGTACAAAAAAGAAAAGATACATTCAACAAGAATCATAAGGTACAACACTTAATAATAGTCATAGGGTACAAATAAGCAATCAAATCATACTAGGAAACAATCAATATAAATCGTAAGGATACAAGCAACCAAGTTACAGTCATATAGTCACAAGTGGGAGGAGATGGATGATAGGAACAATGAGAAGATTAATAGCAATAGTAATGCAGACTTAGTAAATATTTGGTCAGTGTTGTGGGAGTTAGTTGTTTAGCAGAGTAACAGCATTCGGCAAAAAACTGTCCTTGTGTCTAGTTGTTCTGGTGTGCAGTGCTCTATAACGTCATTTTGAGGGTAGGAGTTGGATTTGTTGTATTTTATCAACTGATGTTAGAATCTCCATCTCTTGGCATTGAAAAGATGCTATGATGTTGAATTTCTGGTTAAAGCCTTTTCTAATATGGCAGGTCTCTTTCTTTCTGACAATTCTTCATCAGGAAGACAAAGGCAGGGAGGAAAGTGGTTGTATCAGAGCAGAGTTTGAGAGAGAGAGAGAGAGAGAGAGAGAGAGAAGGGGAGAGAGAGAAGAAAAGAGAGAAGGAGAAAGAGAGAGAGAGAGAGAGAGAGAGAGAGACTAGTAGGGTATTTGCAAATAGAAAAGTGAATGTTTCCAACTAACAGGTTTTGCATCACCTGTCACATTATGGAATCAAAAATTATATATACAAATAAGTGTATAGGCATTCTCTAAAGGGAAGCAATTCCTGTCTATTCTCCTTCAAAACCGAGATAAGAAATATTCCAGGATAATTCCAGATGAATATTTATTTTCTTTTAACAATTTTGATTCTGGAATAATCACTTGCTTTTCTTGCTCTGATTCTTCAAACAAAGCCAGCATAGGAATTTTGGGCAAATATTCCTTTCATACAAATAGCCCTAAACATTTTCATTTTATCCAAAAACATGTTCTCTCCAAAATAAAAATCCTTTCCAACTTTTCACATGAATGTGAATAACGATGAAAAATTTTGATTTTCTTTTTTGCAGATACCTCAGCAATCTCCACAGACCAAACCCCAGGTGAGGATTCCTTTGGCCCAGTTTTGCATGTTTTATTACTTTAATATATGGACAGCATCTCATTTTTCCTTTCTGGTCTTCAAAAGTCAGTCCAAAAGATCCATTTATTAGTTTGTCTTTCAGAAACATTTTTTAAATCCAGAGTGCTAAAATCCAAGTAATCGATGGGTTTTATTCTCAGCCTTCTTAGACACCATGTAAGGCTTCATAAGAAATTATTTGTGATGAAAAGATCTTTTAGGGTATGCTGGTAACATCTCTTCTTCTTCTTTTAGGCTACTGAAGAAATAACTGAGCTAGTGAGTAATTTTACTTTCTATTCCCGGGGAAATATCTTTGAGTTAGTCTAGTTGAACAAAAGGGATCCGTATAGAGGTAGAGAGACAGTTTTGTGCAGTAGTTAGAGCAGGGTTGTCAAACTCGTGGCCCCCAGGATGGATGCATCACATGCGGTCCACATCTCCGCCCTGTTTAGTGAAGGCAGGAAAAGTCCCACTACCTCACGTGATGCCCCTGTGACGATATAAGTTTGACACTCCTGGGTTAGAGCATTAGGCTAGAAACCTGGAGATTGTTTTAGTGATTTAGCCAGTTGGTATTCATGGGCAAAACCACCAGCTGTGTGACTTTGAGCCAGACTCTCTCTTTCAGCCCCAGGAAGGAGGCAATGGCAATCACTTCTGGAAAAACCTTGCCAAGAAAACTACAGGGCTTACTACAGGCAATTTCCAGAAATCAAAACTCGAAGGCAGAAAGTGACAGGTTTTCAGCCGCATTTCATGTCCACTCACTCAGTGATTGTTTGAAGGTCCACCTGGTTGCAAGTATTGTAATATCCTGCAATCACGTAATCACCCTTTGTAGCCTTTGTTGCCGACTTCTGACAAGCAAAGTCTGTAAGGAAACCAAACCACTGAATCCCACAGAATTGCAAATGGCACTGATGTGGTGTGTAGGGTGCTGTAAATTTATGGGAGTTTCACCTAATAGCTGGAACTGCCATTGTAAGCTGTAAGTGCTCTTTGATGATGTGCCTTAGGGTGCATCATTTAGTAAGAGTTTCTAGTCCCAATCACTGCTGGAAAGTGAGGACAACCTGTGTGGCTGCTTTGATTCCTATGTTTTGAACACTTCCTTCAGTCTATTTAGGAATCACTAATCAGCCCTTCCAAACAATATCAGGATATATTTATTAAGGAATTAAATGCTGCTACCCATATGCTGATTTTTCCATATGCATAGGATCAGTATGACTCAAACTGCAGAAGATGGAAGAAACATGTAGATCAGGGTGTCAAACTCACGGTCTGTGGGTCAGATGCATCACACGCTGGTCATGTCCACATCTGGTTTAGTGAAGGTGGGAAAAGTCATGATACATCACGTGAGGATGCCGTGATGACGCGAGTTTGACACTCCTGATGTAGACTGTGCATTGGGAATGTCCAAAGGCTGCACTGCAGGGTATTCTAGGGATGAATTAATTCAACAAGTAATGGAATGGAGTTGTTTCCCCATCTCATCTATTGTGATTAAACAATACACTTTTCCTATTACTGTCTTTGATAGAATGGACACTCCAGTTAATTACATGTGCTGAATTGCTTTTCGGTTTTGATTTTTCCAGGATATCTAAATCAAAGCATCTCCTATGAAAATTTATGACAGTGAGTACGGCAGTTACTCTGCGCTTTAGGTTTACGTTGTGCAGATTTCTTCCAGTATTTTACAAAAACTTACGTTCATTGGGAGTAAGGGGAAGTTGAACGTAAAATTCTGAACTATTAGCTGCCTTTTATTATAGATTGGTAAAAGTGATCTACATACAATTTTCAACTAAGTATTTCACATTCACTCTTGGTTATGTATTTTTTCAGATCCACCAACTGCATTTGATGATAATAAAATCCAGAGCTTCGCTCCCATGCTTTGTCTTTCCAGCTTTCATAACTTCTTCCTAATCAGGGATCAAAGGAGAACTGCGACTTTCTTCTGAGAAGGACTCCAGCAATCATATATTTCTTTCTGTTGGTTTTGGGGCATTCTCTCTTAATTGTGAATTGTGATTATTCTGCAAGAATAAACATTTACAAATAAATTTGTGCATCATCATCACACAGCGTTATCTTTATCATTGTGCTCTGAAAATTATTCTTTTCCCCAATATTATAGGCCATGTCAAAGCTTGGTTGATTCTGATAAATGAAAGCGTGACTACAGCCCATCATTTAAGCAAATTTTGACCTTAATGCCTCAACCATATTTATCCCATCTTTCTGCACACCACAGTCTCTTACAGATTTTTTTTTAACAATGTTCCCAACTGTGAGAGGACAGGCTTTCTGCAAAATGGCCAGCAGCTGGGCTGCTGGTGTCCTGACCCTTTAAGACTTCTCTTTAGCCAGCCTAGCAAAATGTGGGCGTCAAATCTTTGACTAATGAACCCAAGCAAATCAAAACTCTGAGACTTGGCTCCTTCTCAAAGGTTTTCTTTACTGAGTAGGTTATATCGGCACAGCTTCAATGGAAAACCAATTCTAAATTTTTCCCGCAGTTTCAGTATAATTAAACTAGGAAGTAACCCCATCCCTAAGTGTCATAGGTCACATTGGCCAATTTGGGTTAATTAGTGGGTTCTTCAGGCACTCCTTCCCCAACCTTATATGTTGCCAGTAGAGATGACCTTGGTTCTCAGGAGAAAGCACTTTGTTTTGTCTAGTTATGCATTATAGCCCCTTCCCCCTCTTCCCCATGTGTGGCAACTGAGGAACAGAAAGATGGCTGTGGCCAGGTTCAGTTTGAAGTTGACTGTGGGCAGATGTGTGTGGCAGTGTTGGTATTTGTGTGGTGTTGATGTAACAATGAGAGGGAAAGCTTTTTTTGTATTGGGGAAATAAAAGCATCCAAAACAGCCTAAGGCAAATAGAAAAGTTATTGTTCTGCAGAAGTAGATCTCACAAAGAGAAGTAGTGAAGGAATAGGAAGGTAGTAGAATTGGGAAAAGAGTGATATATTAAACTGTGAGTACTAGCCTTTGAGTGCTTTAAGGTGTATGTTGCCTAGAGATCTATGACAACCTGACCTGGTTATACAGAAAAGAACCTATGAATAAGCAAAAGGTGGAATGTCCATAAAACAGATACCTAAAACAATGGGATATTCAACTCAAGAGGGCAACCACACAAGTAGAAGTGACTTAAACTCAAGCGGTTCAGTGCACACTCTATGAAAATGAACCCAAGCCTTGGTTAAAAGAGGCATTGGAAAAGAAAAGAAGTCTGGCTCTCACAAAGCACGTGTTTTGCAAAAACTAGCCAACATTCTGGCTAGGAATCCAGAGTACTAGAGTACACCAAAAACACACCTAATATGGAAAGCAGAAGGGAAGTTTCTCACTTAGAAGAGGCTTCTACCTTGGTAGAAGCAGGTATCCAGCCTAGACCTTAGGTAGATCATCCAGAAATGGGGCTAGATCCAGATATTTGGGGCAATATAGCCATAGAACTGATAAGGCAAGAGGAAAGTTTGTGATTCATGAAAAAGGAGGAAAAAGAGGAGTGAAAAAACAGGAAGAGACGAATTTAAGGGACTGAATGATCTACTTAAAGGGAGACAGTAATCAAAAGAATAGAATAAAATAACAGAGTTGGAAGGGACCTTAGAGGTCTTCTAGTCCAATCCCCTGCTTAGGCAGAAACCATATACCATTTAAGACAAATGGTTGCCCAATCTCTTCTTTAAAAATTCCAGTGTTGGAGCATTTACAATTTCTGGAGGCAATTCGTTCCACTGATTAATTGTTCTAATTGTCAAGGAATTTATCCTTAGTTCTAAGTTGCTTCTCTCCTTGATTAGTTTCCATCCATTGCTTCTTGTCCTGCCCTAGGTTTTAGGTTTTAAACAGCAAATGGCCTTTCAGAAACTCTCCATTATCATCATATACATTACAGGTGGCATTTCATCATTATTTTCTGGGAAGTCAAGGTCATTCTCAAAATAATAATAATAATATAGAGGGTGGAAAAATGTTTTGGTTGGCAGCAGATCCTTCCTTGTGAATGAACCCTTCTAACCTTTCTCAACAGGTAATTTGAAGGCTTCATTAATTGCTCTTTTCAGTTTGGGCAGTCTGGCTTGTGCTGATACATCAATAAAGATCCATCCCTTTATATTTAAGTTATTTTCTCATTTGGGGAAGGAAACCACAAGCTGAGAAAAAGGAAGCTGACCTTCGTGGGTGCCGCTTTGTTGACTTCTGTGCTCAGCACAGATGCCCAGGTGAGAGGAAACCTGAATTTTAGGAAAGGTAAATATTTACCGACATTTTCACTACTTTGTTCCAGGAGTAATTACTTTTTTCTTCTTGTATTGATTCCTCAGCTTTCACCTATCATCTAGAATCCCAGGGAAATATTCCTTTCATAAAAATTGCCCTAAATGTTTTCTATAATTCAGAAACTTGTTCTCCCCAAAGCAAACAACACTTCCAAATTCTTACACTGATGAGAATTTTCACTTTTCTTTTTCCAGACATCTCAAAAGTTTTCAATGAACCAACCACAGGTGAAGGTTCCTTTTGCCCCATTTTTCATGTTTTATTACTCTAAAGTATGAGCAACATTTCATTTTTCCTTTGCAGTCCTTGAATACCAAGCCAAAAGCTCCATTTGTTGCTATGTTTTTTGGGAACATTTTTAATACAGCCTGTTAAAATACCAGTAATTGCTGGACTTTGTCCTTGTATAACAAATGATGTCTGATTAAATGATATTTCAGGGTATGTTGATAAGCATCTATTCTCTTAGCCTCCAAAGGATATAGCAATAGCACTTAGACAGCCGTCTCTAAGTGGTTTACAGAGTCAGCATAATTGCCCTCAACAATTTGGGCCCTCATTTTACTCACCTTGGAAGGATGGAAGGCTGAGTCAACCTTGAGCCTGGTGAGATTTGATCTGCCAAATTGCATGCAGCTAGCAGGCAGCAGGAGTGCACTCTAACCACTGTGCCACTGAGGCTCCTATATAACTGAGCTAGTGAGCAATTTTACTTTCTATTTCTGGGGAAATATCTTTGGTTCAGTCTAGTTGACTGGGGGAAAGATAATGGTGTACAGGGAGAGAGTCACTTGGGTTAAAACACTGAACTAAAAACTAGGAAACTGTGAGTTTTAGTCCTGCCTTAGGCATGAAGCTAGCTGGGTGTCTTTGGGCCAGTCCACCCGGGTCCCCTCAGCCTCAGGAAGGAGCCAATGGCAAAACTGAAAAACCATGCAAACAAAACTACACGGTTTAGTACAAGCCATTACCAGGAGCCAAAACCCAAAAGCAGAAAACAAAATGCAGGAAATCCTTGTTTCACATATACTTTCTCAGTGATTGTTCAAAGGTCCACATAGTTATAGATATTGTAGCATCGTTTAGTCACACAATCATCATTTGTGACCTTTGTTAGTGTCTTCTGACAAGTATAGTCTGTGGGGAAAATGGTAGGAGGCGTTAAATGGCAGTCATGTGATTATGGAATGCTAGAACTATGTGGAATTCATCTAACCATGGCAGGAACTGCCACAACTGTTGTGAGTCTGTGTGCTCATGGATGATGTGCCTTAGTATGCATTGTTTAGCATCAGAGTTTCTCCTTCCAATTATCATTGGTAAGTGAGGACAGCCCATATTAATGCTGTGATTGCTATGGTCTAAAAATTTACTTCCATTTTCTTTAGGGATTACAAGTCAGCTCTTTTAAGCAATATAAGGATATATTTATTAAGGAATTAAATACTGATACCATATGTGTTATGTCCTGAGGACTCAAGGAGTTCTCACTCAGGTCCACTCACTTTGTGTGGGCGTTATTCCCCCATTCCCATTGGTCAGTTCTCCCCAGCAGCCAGCTATAAAAGCAGGCTGCGGGGTCCAACTGGCTGCTGATTGTTGCGAGCCAGTTCCAGGCTTGGCAAGCACGGTCAGCCCTTTATTTGTAAAATAAAGTACTGTTGCACTCATGCTCTGGTTCAGCCTTTCATTGCTCAAACTTAACACTGGCGACGAGGATGGGATGGCTACCAGAAGCACCTTGCAACCGCTGAGTCACTAGCCACCGATCTACAGCCCAGAGAGAGCGATTGGCTGGCAACAAGGGAAACGCTGATCCGCAGCCAGAGAGAGCGGTCAGCTAACGAAACGAGCGATCAAAAAGAGCAAACGCAGATCCGCAGCCAGAGAAAGCGGTCTGAGTCAAATAGTTAGAAGCGTCTGTAGCCGCTTGTTAGCCTCGCTACAGGGAAAGTGAAGCGCTGCGAGCCGCAGCCGCTCTGCATTTGGCGCGAAATTCAAACGGGTGTCATTTGAATTTCGAGCCAGTAGGAATCACAGCACAGCGCTGTAGAGAGTCACTAACGCCCACTTTTTTTTGGCGCGAATCAAGACACCTCCAACGGCTAGCAGCCAACGTGGTAACCCAGAGAGAGAGAAAGAGAGGGTAGCAAAAAACCTCTCCAGAGCTGATATCACTAGTAACTCACGAGCGTTCGTAGTCCCAGAGAGATTTCTCCCGCAGGTAGCCCAGCCGTTCCAGCACCATGGGTTCCAATCCAGTATTCCCGGCGTTTAAACCAGACGAAGAGAAGTGGGAATCGTATAAGAACCGTTTCAATCATTACATCGATGCGGTCGGCCTGTCGGATGCGGAAGAGCATCGGAAAAAATCCTATTTCCTAATCTACTGCGGAGCCACCGTTTACGATACCGCTGCAGCACTCGTGGCGCCGAGAGAATTAAAAAACGTTCCGTGGTCCGAGTTGCTTGAGATCCTCACAAACCACTACGCTCCCAGGCCTTCACAAATCGCCAGGAGGTTCACGTTCCGAATGAGGAAGCAATCAAGTAAGGAGACCATCAACCAATATATGGCCGCCCTCAGAACAGCAGCCCTGCACTGCGGGTTTGGAACATACCTGGAGGACATGCTCCTCGATCAATTGGTTTGTGGGGTCAAGGATCTCAACCTACAGAGGCGACTGCTAGCTAAAAAAGACCTCAACCTCGCGCAAGCGGTAGAGGAGGCCCTAGCAGCCGAGCTAGCAACAAACTCAGCCACCGA